TTTGTAGGTTAAATGCGCCTAACCTCAGCGAACTAGACACCAAGACATATTTTCAGTGTCTTTAGGTGATCATTCTATCTTTTTTAATTTTCACAGTAGTTAGCGTTCTGCTCGCTTTCCACGGTTTTGGGCTACTGTCTTTCTGATACTCATTTGATCGACCGAGATCCATTGATCAGGTGATTAGCCGACATAATGGTGTGCTAGCATCATAGGTCGATGAATATGATGCCGTATAAACTGATTGCTTCAGTGTTTCTTAGGACATAACGTACACTTGCGCGTCAAGTTCATCGTATCTGAAGTTCCTACGATTCACGATTGACGTCGTCTTCATTCTATTCAATTAACCTTCATTGATCGAAAGACTTGGACTTTACGTCAAATGTGTGAATAATGGAAACGAAACCGACCATTAAGAGCAGGAAAGACATGGCATGAAACGAATGATCATCGAACACCCAATGTATGGATCATTTTTAATATTGAAGATTATAATCTGGATGATAGATGCTTCAGTCATCAGAATTAGTCAAAGTTGCTCAAGTTCGAACACCTTCACTCCGCACCCAAGTCAAATCAATTAAAGGTTTTAAACACCCAATGGGGTGGGTTTATAGCCCTTTGAATAATTTACAGTGAAGAAAACGTTTGCCAGATGAAAAACAAATGGATTTGATAAAACTCTAATGTGATAGGTGATTTTCCAAGTCAGTACTGATAGATGCTCGATATGATAAGTTACAGGCAAGATAAGGGATGATGATGATGTTACTTCACGATGTGGTGGTACGTGGATGAACAAAAACCCCTAAGTTTGGAACGCGTACTCGGCTGAGACAACAGATTTATTGAGATTGATGTGTGAGGCCATTGTCGACTAGGTTCTCTTAACGACGGAGAGTTGCTTTGATTTAACCGTGTAGGAAAGCCCCAGGGACCTGATGAAGTATCCTGANCTAAAAATCTGAACACCACTTGAATATTTTGATGAGAATCAGCGTTCATGTTTGTTAATTTGCACTGTAGGTCCGGATTTCAAAGCTCAGATTAGACGCTAGATGTGTACTACTGATGAACGCAGTAGTTTAGTCGCTGTCAGTGGCATGCTTTGAACCCTATTGTCCGAGGTTCGAGCCCCGTCACCTCCACCCAAATTTGGTGGTAGGCAGCTCTGCTGTCGTCCGGTTCAATTCCACGCCTAACCTATCGGGGCCTTATGTTGTTCGCTACTCCAAGTCCCGGGGTTTAAATTGCCGGTTTTCACCACTGAACACCAGGTCCTCGTGANCTGCCGTTCATCACACTTATGTGTGTAATAAAAAAGAGAGAAAATCGAGTCTGGTGCTTCCGAGTGTACAGTTGACTGGAGGGACTTGGGATTGCGCGTGAAGGTGAAGCCCGCAGTATGGTCAGTCCAAATACGTATTGTTTGTTACTATTATTACTATTATTTATGGGCAACCAAAAGACAGCAACCAAAACCGGCGCACGAAAGTGCATGGTTAATGGTTATTCAAACTGAAAACTGATTATTTATGATCAATATTCTCGAAACGCATTCTTTTCAAGCCATACTTTCTTTTAAGAAAAGCGCAATATCATATTTCCTGTGTAGTAGGTCGCAGAAATTCTTCGGATTTCTTTATGTATGGTTTTCACACATTTGTACAATTTCTGGATGGACAAGTCTATAGTTCATTCGGCCACTACCTTACAACCTGGATCTGAATTCCATCGTCAACGTTTTGCTTGTGTTGATAAATAAATTAAATCTCCTACCTCGACAGCGGTTCTCAGTAGCCAGTGTACAGAGTAAGCGGTTTATACTCTGGTTCGATCAATATCTGTATACAAGCTTATCTCCGGAACTATACTGCACTGAAAAATCTCTTAACGAGCTCATTATTAAGTGAAGACTGAGCTTCTGCCACTCAGTACAGTATCCATTCCATGATAATCAAATGAGTTGTACCATCTCCTAATGAAATTTTACAAATTGAAGGCTCCAGATGCAAAGGTGAACAACATTTCATAGCCCAAAACTTATTCAGTTATAACAGGTCTTGGTGGATGACATTTGATGGTCTGTTGGAACGCCGTAAACCAGAAGGTAGACTGGTAGATGAATGAAACAGACAGTCAAAAGTCAGCAAGCAAAACCGGCACAAAAAGTGCATAGTTAATGGTTATAAAATCTGAAACTGAAACCGAAGCAGACATCAAAGAATTAGACCAAGTTTCGTATAATTCACCATTATACCACTTGGCCATTAAGAAAACAGGATAAAGATAGACTGTCGGTGTTTGAACACCGCTGTCTACGCAGCATTGTACGAATCTGGTGAGGCAAACGGACGACCAATTCTGAGGTTAGGCGTAGAGCTTTAGGTAACCGCGGTAGCCAACTTGAGCAAGTGGTCTACCACCAATTGCGCTGGTTGGGGCGTATGTTACGCATAACACCAAATAGGTTGCCAGGGCGTGTGATGTTTGCCGAGGTGGACAGGGGGGGGGGAATACAGTCAATGGTAGCCAAAATAAGACACTTGGTACGAGAGTAATAAAACCCTAAGCAGAAAACTCGATCATATAGGTCACGTTAGACTCCCGGGATGGAAACTGCGGGATCATTGCAATCAATGGTTAGAGGAACTGCTTGATATGTCTGAGTGTCGTAAACAGTAGGGTTCGTGCATCTTCTCAATTTCCTTGCAACCTTAGTCCACTGAAATTCTCCATCTTTGTTAGACTCTACTTTCAACTTTCCTGTCTTCCTCCTGCTGCTTCATTCAGATGGACAGCCAAAAGATGGCAACCAAAACCGGTTCACGAAAAAGCATTGTTGATGGTTGTACAGACAGAATCTGAAACCACATTCATACTCAACCACACTATTCGATATGTTATACGCAAATGAAGTTCTTTGTAATCTATATAGTGATTAAAGCTGGGTAGACCGACACTGTCCTAGAGTCCAGCAGCGGAGTACACAAAATGAGTCAGTGGGTTCTAACGATAGTCCAAACGTCAGGCACTAGGTAAGGCTAATTCAGAACCCATTGTTCTGAAACAAAAATGGTTCAATGGTTCAATATGTTTGATTTTCCCACCATGGGCCAATCCGAGGATGAAATAAAAACAAATTGGCAGAATATTGGGAAAATTGCTTTCTGCTCTCTTACGCGTGTTTTAGTGTCCGCTTATGACGGCAGTATTTACCTTTGGAATTTCAAAGTTCCATCTATCCCATTAGACGATGCACTTTGAATTTCAAAATCCCTTACAGTATGCTATACGATTGTAAAGTTCACCTAGTGAATGTACTAAGAAAAACGGAGATTTTCAACAATAACAAAATCATTCCTCACGTGCATTCGGCAAGCGTAAAATGGCTGAAACTTGTCACTAACACAAATTTTAAGACGAGAACTTGAAAACAAAAACACGTAAAAAATATTTGAGAATTACAATTGTTGACTTACATGTTTTGGGACGAAATTCCGCTTTCTTTTGGACAGCTTGAAGCAGTTCCGACGGAACGGCTGATAGATCTGGCAGCCCGACCAAAGATGTTCGCATTTCTTTTGGCATTGTTAATGTTGTTTTTAGTGTTGGTGTTGATGTGGGGTGTGAAAAGGAAAAAGCGCATGTTTCAAATATGGGATTTGTCTGACGACTATTATTTTAGGTGAGACCAATTTAGATATATATTTTAGCAATACCAATTACTTACTGCGCCCTCCTTGTGCCAATTCCGCTTTCATGGCATCATCCGAGACTTCATCTACAAACTCGCCGGCAGCTTCCATTTCACCCACGGATGTGCGTCGTGCTTCCTCCTTCTCGATAGCCGGAGTAACTGGGCCAACAGCTTCAGCTTTGGTGTATAATAAAGGGAGATAAATCAAATGTATGGTATTAATACAAAATTTAAATTCCTTGTTTGTCATTACTTCCAACATAACCATAATCAAAATCTTGTCGGTGTAGCGTTTGAGTTTAGTCGTTCTCTTTCAGTTGAATAACATTTCTTGATTAAACGATCATTTTCTTTTTCATCTATTTGAAGCTAATCAATACTTCATCTAGCGTCTGCGAAACATCTAGGTTATTGCATGTTCCGTGAATTACGCCAAGGATGTACATCGGGTAATCAAAATGTCCTAATAGATTTGGAAACACATCGTTTAAACTGAAAATTGCCAAAAAGTATTTCTCTGGGTGCATAAACAGTTTCTTGACTTCACTAAACTTGAAATTGCTTCTCAGACAGTGGGGTGTTAGAATGATGAAAATCCGAGTAATATTGGGTATTCAGTGGAGAAAATTGATGAAATTTCAGTCATCACACGAGGAGAGAAATAAAAAATATATGACTTGTCATATTACACGATTTGGGGATACACAAAGAAAGTTTCAATAAAAAAGCAGCTGGATACTTCATTATTGACAAAATATTGAAAATCGGTTTTCGTAGCTCGGGTGAACTGAATTCCATTTTGCCTGTTCGCCGAGCTTGGCAATTTGTTTGCAAACGTTTCATCACCAGCCGAGGTGACATCATCAGTGCNGCACTGATGATGTCACCTCGGCTGGTGATGAAACGTTTGCAAACAAATTGCCAAGCTCGGCGAACAGGCAAAATGGAATACTTCATTATCTTATTTGACTGACTAAGTCATGCTTGATCGCAATTGGAAAGAGGTTGTTGTCAGCCCCGTAAGAAATAACGTGGAGAAAGTCAACTGCCTTGATCTACCAATAGTTTACGGATTAACCAACTGACACTTCATTAGTTATAGGTCCAGCACCCACCCTTACTCTAACCGAGGAAGTAATAGAGCAAGTGGATAAGTTTTATTAGTTGGGCAGCTACATCTCACCCGGTGGACGCATCACGGATAACGAGTCGGCTCGCATACAGAAACAGTGGCGTTCATGCATCCCCTAAATTTCTTTGCAACCTTAGACCAGTGAAATTATCTATTTTCTGTTCGACTCTACTTTCAACTTTCCTGTATTTCTCCTATTCTTCATTCAAATAGGCAGCCCAGCGACAGCAACCAAAACCACCGCACGAAGGTGCTTGGTTAATGGTTGTACAAACTGAAAATGAGTTGTAGGTCACATTTTGAGTAGATTTTGTTCCATAAATCTATGGAACATTAACCTGGTACCTAATATATCAGTATATATACATATATCAGTAAACACAATTTATAGTCTTTGGTCTATCTCCACGTTTGCCTAAGCCAGTAACTAGTTGTGTATTTGTACTGGTAATTTCAACAGACAGGATTTGACATTCTCCACAAACAATTGGTCTGCAAAATTTGATAAGTTCCCCATTATAATTGATGTACATTTAGACCGTACTTTTACTACGATTTTCGTACACCGCTAGGTACATGCGATTGCTCCATCGTTTTCGGTCGTCTCGCCCTCTCACCCGTGACTTTAAGCAAGTAAATTCCCTCTGACCCACAGTGCGATCTGATTGGATCATATTCCGCGATCT